TTACTGAGTCATCTCTCTGGCCCCTACTTATTTACTTGGTACAGGGTTTCACATAGTGTTTCTCCTGTCTCAGCCTCCCCAGCACTGGGAATACAGGCATGCACACTCATGCCTGGTTTTGATGACAAGAAGCATGTGGTACCTCATGCTGGGGATTGGACCCAGGTCCTTGTGCTTTCTAGGCAGGCACTTAGACCACTGAGCTATCTCCCCAGCCCTGTCTGAGGCCTGTCTTGTCTAGAAGTGGGAGACACTTCTTTTAGAAGATTGACCTTTTTCTTTATTTAGGTGTTTTGAACCGGTCTTGCTGTGTAATTTAGGCTGGCCTGAAAAGGTGATCTGACTGCCTCAGCCTCCCAGGTGCTGGGATTACAGACATGTGCCACCCTGCCCAGCAAGATTGACTTCGTTAATCTTTTAATGTGACCAGTTTTCTTTCATTTGAGGGCTGGGGAGATAACTCAGTAGGATAAGCATTTGCATGGCAAGCGTAAGGGCCTGAGTTCAGTCCCCGGTTCTACAAAAACAATTTTCTTTCATTTAAATAAAAATAGTTTAATGCTGTGCCAGAGATAATCTTAGTTTCTTCTGACTACATTAAGCAAGATAGTAATTATCTTAGCGGTGAAGAAGCTTAAATCTAGTGATTTCAATTTCACAAAAATCCATTTCCTGATGTGTTTTTCCATTGGATTTTGTTTATACTATTTTATATGGTATCTTTTATTGGCACAAATAGATCATCTTAGTGCAGAAAGGATAAGAGGATTTAAATTTTTTTTTTTTTGGTTAGAAATTTCAGGTGTATATTCCTGTTTTTTTGAGATGGGATCTCACTATGAAGCCCTGGCTGGCCTGGAACTCAGCAGCCATCTTCCTCAGTTTGGGCTGGGGAGATGGCTCAGTAGAATAAGTGCTTGCCTGGCAAAAGCAAGGGACTGAGTTCAATCCTGGGTTCCTGCCCAAAAAAAAAAAACCCCTAATCTTCCCCAGCTTTCAAGAGCTGAGATTAGCTGGGTAGTAAGTAAATTAAGTGGAATGGAGGTATCAGGTAGGGCACTGTGATAAGACACTGAAAAGGAATGTACCTAAAGGTGATATGAAGAGAGAGAAGGTATGGTGGCACAGTCCTACAATCCCAGCACTCAGCAATACTATAGTTGCATATTTGAGACTGTTGCGTTTAAAGCCAGTCTGAACCACATAGTGAGACCCTGTCTAAAAAATAAATGGAGGGTTTCTGTTTGAGATGGGGTCTCACTATGCAGTTTTGTGTCCTAGTTTAA